AGGGATAACACTACAGGCCTGACATCCGTCTCCTTTTCTAAATGACGCTTTCGAGGTCTCATGACGCCTTGAGCGTTCCTTTTTATGCCGTACGTCACGCACTGGCTTCCAATGGATGCAGGTGTAGTATCATGTCCACCTGCTATTGCCTATGCTGTTTCATTGCTAGACTGCGGCAGTTTAGGCGTAGTACCAGAACAGGCGAGATTTACAGCGGTCTTCAGAATCGGTATGCGAGATAATGTTGATGTCTCTGAGTTATTGCCTCCTCTGTCTATTGCTCTCGTGACTACAGAATATGGTGTTTTGGTGCTTTTCCTAAGGTTACTCTTGACAGCCATATTAACTATTAATATAACTTTTGCTATGTAAGAATGAGAGAGAAACAGTATCTACTCAATAGAACAGGAATCAGAATGATAAAATACATGATAAGGAAAAGAAAGGGTTTTTGACTATATCTAGTACTTTAAGATTAGTCGGCTTCACAGAAGTCACGTAATAGACTAACAAGTCTTTTTTATCTGAACGAATGAGGAAGATGTCGCTGCAGATATAGCACCTGAAGCTTTGGCAGTTGTTCCAGACAGCTGGACTTACCACGCGGATATTTGATATGTAATGGTTGAATTTAATTCATCGCCTAGATTGACCCGATTTCCCAAGCGGATAATTCACAAAACAGGTATTTTCCGGTTGGAGATGAAAAAACACGTAGTGAAGGGGCTTACTTTAACGCATTTGGTACTGTTTGTTTCGTGACTTTTTGTACGGTTTTTATATATCTATGTTCTAGTATACAACCTATACCAACATAAGTCTCCTTGATAACTGCGGACGACCGGAGTGCCGATTTTCCGATGGATGATGGGATGCAGTAATAACTGCAACCTGTATTTTCATGAATTTCGCACTAGCTTATCACCATCATCCTGCCAGAGACACAATAAGCCATCATCTCCTTGCATGTGTAAATTTTTTGGCAGCCAGTTGGACGTCCTTACTCAAGAGGCCACAGGACTTCATATATCCAAGGAACTTACAAATATTTCAGGTGGGGGAAAAATCCCACCATACGAAATCGATACAAAGGATGACGATTGTTGACTGAAACATAAGACTGAGACAGAACCATATTTCGAAGCACTAGACGCAAAAGAAGCAGTGTGTGCCTAAGTCTTTAACGGTACTCAAAAGGTCCAGAAAATCTAAGAGGGCAAGTAGTGCCAGGACTATAAGACTACTGAGGAGATATTACTACGATGTGACCTTGCGTATCTGGTGAACCTATGGCTTCTAGGTGTGATGAGAGCAAAGTGAAATCAACTAACTTCACTTGATTAGTGCTGAAAAGCAGGAAGCTAAAAAATATAAGCAGGAGAAAACGAATGGGCTTATTGATGAGGTCTCGAAGGGCTTAAATGCTAATACAATCTCAAAACCTTCGAACTCAAATTACAGTATCACAATTTTGAACTTGGAGGATTCGAAGAAAGTATATCCAGCTGCTCAAATACTGATGATCTAGAGGAAGTTAGTTCCATTATTCGCCAAGTACATCCCGATAAGACGAATAAAGTCTTATTAACATTAGTATTATTAATACATCTAATAAACAAACTAATATGGAATTACGAATGGAGTCTGTGTGAGAAAGGTCATCAGAATCAGTAAACGAAATCCGATGTCATGAAACGTTCCCGAAGACCACTGAAGATTGTGCTGAGGAATGAGATAGAAAAAGGCATTATTCTCAACAACGCATTTAAGAACAAGGCCCTACTGACCCCTGGAGGATATGTTTAAAGAAAGAGAAGCCGTGGTGCAATTAAAGGCCTGACTTGAAAAAGGGTCATATGATCTAAAACTGTTGGGTTTTCGGGTAGTGAGTTCTCGAAAACCCATGTTGCCCAGAACTCTGTTCACAAGTCAAATGAACACGTAGTTCTTTCAGTGTGCTATACGAACTCATGTGGCCTTAAGAATAAGCTCTCTGAATACAGAATATTCTGGAAAAGGCTACAGGTTGATGTGATTGCTATCACGGTTAGTGGGCTTAGAACTAATCCCACTCATACCTGGGCACATGTGCATTAGAACAGAAAGAGTAGTTAGTCGGAAAGGTGGTGGAGTTGCCGCAGGCATCCGAGTTAAAACAGCAATTAGGTCAAGATTGTCAGAAGCGCATGACAGCGACAATAGTGAAGCCTCAAGCTGTGTCATTAACTTGAACAAGGGCTTTGTGATGACTAAGGATATTTATAGAAGTCCTGCTAGCCAAGCTGATGATTTCATGCTAAATAACCTCAGGACATGGAGTAGTAAAAATAGGAATCTAATAACAGATAACTGAAACGCCTCACATATTAATTGGGGGGAATGAACATCCAGTGGCTTGTATACTTGTTTCAACAGGGAACTTATAATGAATGCTTGAATGCGCAGTTGTGCAGTATATAAACGCAACAGCACGATACCACCCTGAAAATGTTCTGTCCACTCTAGATTCCGTGCTAACACACCAAAAGGAGGATGTCAGTGACATTAGGAGCCTGGCGCCGCTAGGCAGTAGTGACCATATAGTTATCAATTTACGTTTAAGGTTCACGCTGTCATACATGGGTCAACGGCTGCTCGTCCAAATATTTGAAAAACGAATATACCTGCAATCTGAAATGAGGCAACCGTAGCTGACTGGCCTGCTGATACACACCAGACTGTTGAGGAAGCTTGGATGGGATTTAAGAATACACTAGATTGCGTCACACCCTTTGTGCATTGGTCTACGCCTCAAAAACTATCGCATAAACTGCCTTGGATTAGTAATGAATTAAGAAGGTTATTAAGAAAACGAAAGAACTTATGGGGCCGATTTACTGTGACTAGGAGAGATGAGTTTCAGGTGAAATACCGCAAAATTTGAGACCTTTGTAAGTGTATGATTGACAAAAGCCGTACAAAGTATAAAAGACAGTTAGTCCTGTATTGCGTACATAATCCAAAAAGACTACTCGTATATCAAACGCAGGACTAAAACTAGCAGTGGTATACCGTCCCTCATAAGCAATACTGAAGAGGCGGCCAATTCAGACGAAACAAAAGCTGAAAAGCTCTCAGAATACCTTCGCGATGTTTTTTCGTCTAGTCGTATCACTTAGGAGTGCAGTGACTTACTGCTGTGGCCACTAAAATGCCTAAAATTGGTGTAGAGGATACAGTGTTTCTCAAGCTACTGCCTAAAATAAATCACCAGGACCCAACGGACCTCGCCCTAGACTGCCGATTTCCTTGGCGAATATGATGTACATTCCACTTGCGGTGATTTTTCAAATGTCTCTGGCCGGGGCTAGGCTACCCAGGGACTGGAATGATGCATTTATTGGCTCCATCTTCAAAAAGGGAAGCAGGCAGTTAGTATCTAACTATCAGCCTATAAGTCTGTCCTGCATTATAGCTAAGGTACTAGAAACACACATCAGCTCTTAGCTCATATTTAGAAAAAATAGTTATTGGCAGTGGAACAGCGTGAATTCCGACCAGGATGATCATGCCTGAGAAACTTATTGTCAGTTAGGGAAAATTGGGTTGAAGCCAGGGATAAGAAACATCTATTGGTCTTTGTCTTCATCGATCTTAGTAAAGCATTCCACAAGGTATTCCATTTAGGTCTTTAGTAAACTCACATGTTTTGGACTAGACCAACGCCTATGTGAGTGGTTTAACGACAACTTGATGTATAGAAGGCAGAAGGTAAGGGTTAATGATGTACTGTCAGGGTGGAAAGCAGTACGGAGTGGAGTTCCTCAGGGGATTGTGCTAGGCCCCCTGCATTTGCTATTGTACGTAGACGAACTACCGAAAATTCTTACCTCATCTTCTTTATTATTTGTGAGTTCATCCGTCAAAAAGGAGTCACATATGGTAGAAGGAGTACAGGGGGTAGGAACAAACTAGCTAGTGTCACCTCACACCTTCCTTATGACAAGCAAATGGAGCATTTAAATATCTTGCCATTATCATACCGGAGGAGAGCCGAATCAATTTAAGTATACGTATTTAAAAATGGGATTCGGGGCTTGATCTTTCTAACCTTTTCTCTCGCTCTAGGATACATCTACAAGGTGACCACGAAAAAGTGTTCGAATCAAAGGAGACTAGGAAACTGTATCCAGGCAGCCAGTCTTTGTCTTGAAGGGGAACCACATATTCCAGAAAAGGTTCGAAGAAAAGAAACACGTATGATTCTCGGCTAATTTATCATACGAGGAAAGACTAGGTAGCTTAAATCTCCTCTCCCTATCATACTGTAGGTAAAGAGGAGATTTAATTATATGTTTAAAATATTTTTAATGACTACGGGCCTTATCTATTCTCTCTTTTTTTCACACAAGGATGGAAAATCTTAGATGACATAGCAAGAGAGTTCAAAAGCCGAGGAGAAACCATGTTGCAGTGGGGTACTGTTTTCCAGACCGACGCATTAACTCCTGGAACTGATATTCAGAAGAAGTGGTGTCTGCAACCTCAATTGATTGATTCGAGAAATGTTTGGAAAAGTACAGAAATTAACTACAAAAGGATTAACATGCCTTCTATCCTAAATAAAAAATCTGAATCTAAACTGAGGTGGAAAAATATACGCGTGGAATTTACATTCTTTCACAGAATGGTCAACGACTGGAACTCCTTACCTGATTTATTTGCTTTCAAAGAGGAAATTAGGTCTCTTCAGAGATATATATCACAAGAATTAACATAGGCAACAAGAACCTTCTTTCCTGTTCACCTAAATCTGCTCAAAGTCACTCTGATGGTGGTTAGTTTGGTCTCTAAGCCTCGCTCTAACCTAAGTTCTTATGTGCATTAGGAGAAATTTTTCGTCTTCAGAAGAAGAACAAGTACCAGCTGGCATTTTATGGTTCCCATAAATGCCACAAAGCTTATGCACCAATGACCTTCGCGCTCACCATAAAAGTTTGAAGGTCATGTGTAAATAGGTTATGGGGGCGGACTGTTTCAATGGGGTCCTAAGGTTTCGTTCTGTTACAAAAGTAGACATCGATCAGCTGCAGTCACTGTATAAAGAATGCTTTCCGGTCAGGTAAACATCGAAATTTTGACTTATGAACAGCTACCCGTCTTCCTGGTTTCAAGACCTTTTAAACAACTCATCTCTTATTTCAATCGTGGCTATTTTAGACAATGATTTGATCGGTGTTATTGTGGGCACCGTAACGACTTTGGGAAGATGCAACGTTGATGTAAGCTTTTATTTATCAATTTAGTGATTGTTTACAGGATCGCAATTTACTTTCTTCAAGTTTCCCACTTTCGACTAGTGTGGCGTATATACTAAGTTTGGGTGTTACCGCTAGTTACAGATCAAAGGGTGTTGGTAAGTCAGATTTGTGCATGAAATATAATATTTATCGAACTGATAACTATCTCAAGTATGGTATTTAGGTCGGTCGGTCAGTTTTCGACATAGAACTTTGCACATATGTTTGGTATTTCGGGGGAGGTTAATGCATTTTAGGTGGAAAAATGTAGCTAAAGACATTCTTTTTCTGAAGGCCATCACTATTTTTCTGAAGGGGTTGTTTGTTGGACTCCATAGATTTGTTTGTAGTTTTCCCTTGGATTTTCACTAAACGTTTCGGAATAGCTTGAAACTTCCCCTTGTTACGGCAAATTTTATTCTGTGATACGTTATGTTAAAGCTTACGAAGTACGTTAAGCGAATCACTTGCATATACATTTGTTCAGTTCAATATATGTACGCATAATGCAACAATTTTCTTTCTTTTACAATTTTATGATGGTTGGTATTTACAGACAGGCGATAGCAGTAAATCCAACTTTCTTCGCTTTGCATGCGTTGATTTTACATTATCGAGTTGTCGTTTTAGTCTGTCATCACAAAATGCTGTAAAATAAAGTAAATTAGCATGCATGGTCACTTTATGACAATTGCTTTAACGGTTTGTGTAATCCAGTTTTACTGATGGTGCAGTAATCCCACCTTTCTAAAGGAAAAATATTCTTCATAGTTGACATTTGTTTTATTATGTTGAACTATTTGAAGCCTAATACTTATCACTTCTGTAGGAAATTCTGAACACAGTGATAAAAGCATCAAGCATATCATGATTACTTATTAATTCTTTATCTTTTAAAGTTTTGTCAAGCATGAACTCGAAGTTATGTCTGAAAATGCATATAAAACTGCGGATCATGAATCACCTAGATGTTACTCGCTGTCCTAATGAAAGTTCTATCGAAGAGCTGTTTGTATTATTGTGAAACATGTGAAACAAATCAGCTTTCAGACTTTATGCAGTTATGCATTTAGGTTTTCAGCCAATAGGCGTATAAAACCTTTTCATCTTTATTTTTTCATTTCCTGTTGGTGTGGTCATCAGAGTAATGCATTTTATCACCATTTGATCTTGTTTCCTGGTAAATACTGTGTATTGTCCTCTTTAGTAAATCTCGGTTGAAACCACAAAGAGTAGATATTCGTTATTCAATTGCTTTCAGTTCATTCAAGGTATTGTCGTTTAAGTGAGCTTGCCTTTAGATGATACGAATTCCTCGTCAATATATTTCTCTGCAATTTATCTTTCGTGGCCAAAAGCTGTTTCGGAAAACTCCGCAACCTCTGTTATAATAGAAATATACTCATTGTTGAACAAAATAATTGTGGTTAGACAGGAAATGTGGCTCATACGAATGCGCCTTTATGCTAAGTATCAGGTTAGTATTTCAGGTTACTAATAAGTTAGTGGGTCAGGCTGTACATGACTAAATTGTTTCCAGAATATGTTCAACTACTATGCAAAGTATTTCTTCTGAAGTCTATTTATATTATTCATGTAAAAACTGTGGATAGTTTGGCTAGTTGTCGAATTTTCATTTCGGTAACTTATCGAAAGGGACTGAGGATTTTTGCTCACTTAACTGATTAATGCATATAACATACTATTTGTTCATTAGCGATTATGTTTTGTAGTGTTCAGTTAGAATGGTACAGGTTCCCAGATATTAGCTGAATAAAAATCAGTGAAGTTACAGGTTGTTGATAGGATTCACCAAGCATACCTGACTTGCTGTTTAGTCTTTTGAAGTCATTGAGTAATTTATAACTCACATTCCCCTGGTTGTAATTAATTAGAATACCGAAGTCGTTGCTTCATAACTTCTCTTCACTTAATTTAGTATCATATCCTATTCCTTATCGAAATCTATTTCATTTTGCTGGAGTGTCATTCGTTATCACTGTTGAAATTATTATTTTTACTAATGTCTCTATGTGTTTTGCTTGCTGAGGATACGAAAAGTAGGACTTATACTTTACTCTGTTAAGATTTAAGTTATAATGTCTATGCATCAGTATATTTCACGTTGAATCTAGAAGTAACCTTGCTGCATGCTTCTCTATTAAAAATATTACCCCTTTTGTTTTCTGTTTTACCTTATTGTCAGTGATGGATGGAAGAGGTGCATACCGAAGCTAATTTTGTTTTTCAATCTTATTACAAATTTACTAACAGAACTGATTTCGCCCAGTTTATACTTCTAAAAGGTTGACTTCTTATCAATAAAAAAGTTGGTTGCTCTGATGTATGCGGATCAAATCATTTTGTTAGGTGAAGACTCTGAGTTAAGAAATGTCCTCTGGGTGTTCTAAGCAAACGCGTTCACTGGAGTAGAATTGGTTTCGAATACAGTCAACAGTAGTCAGTTTAAAATATCCATCAATCCATGGCACCATTGACTATTCACTTAAGTTGTGTAGGCACGTCGGTCATCAGTAGATTGACATTCTTGTGATGACAGGAACTGATAGTTAGAGACTGGTTGGTTTGTTATTGAATTAGACGTAGTAATAAAGGTGTGTTTAATCTTTATCGTTCCCGAGATCAGTCATTTAATTTATATTCACCTAGTTGTTTTGTAATCACCAAAACGCATGCTTTCCTGTTGGAGAGTTGCTCTGTATATATGTTCTCGCTATTTGTTGTTTTTGAGTGTGATAATTTACACTCATTCACTTGTTGTAAGGTTTGATGTCAAGATGTTTTTCTCTGTTGCTTTTTTCCTTAGTATGTTGTCTTCTATAACAACTAAAACTGGTGTGTACTTGTCTGACAAATTAAATACCATGCCTACAATGACATTGAAAGTTCTCTTGATTTCTAACAAACCTCGACTTTTGTGCAGTTGGAACGGAATGATGGTAGATACTATTTTCGTCTTAAATCTAGGTGAGGCATACACTGTCACGATGTGGCGGTTACCTCATCATTGGCATTAGCTAGCGGTGGCGCTGTATCATGATTAGGCAGAAGGCCTTGTAGTCTGAAGGTGTTGGGTCCCACTCCTGGTGGGCTCGTGACTGCACGCTAACGAAGAGTTCCATACTAGGATGAGCCTATGGTCGAGTAGTCTACTCCCTGGCAGTTGTGTGGTAATAATTAATTGTTTTCGTCAGATTGTAACACACTTCCTATTACTTGGATATGTATATACACTGGAGGATTAATATAATGGGGAGGTTGACATTCACTTGTTCTTGGCATAAATGAGAACTACTGAAATCGGCATATTTTATCATTGTGTTTAAAAAACCTGTTGTTATGCAAAGTAAACTGTTTGGAGTATCTATGGAGCAAGCTAAGGAGGTTTACACTGCTCATCATAACTGTTTCCAATTTGTCTCCTCGCGTCTCGCAACCACTGCCTGCTACATGAGGTGTGGCAATTTGACCTGCAGCATATCTGTGTAATTTCTATGTCGAAACTGGATTTTTCTGCATTTAGTAAATTTTCTGTAAGTAAATTTATGTTTCTTCAGTAGAATACTCTACGTAAAGAGTAATTATGTAATTAGAGATTTAAGTAATATACATCCGTGTATATGCATATATACACACAGATACACGCATGCGTAAATTCCATGCAACAGTAAATAAGCACTTGACTCAAGAAGTTATTTTCACCTTTGGAAAGTGATAGGTAATTGTTAAAATGCTGTTATGCAATCCAAAAGGTATATACTTGAGTCTACAATACACTTGAATTAAATAAATCATTAAAAGTCAGTAAATCCAAACGCAAGCTAAATTCATACATAAATATGCCGCCGCCCCCCACCCCCTCAACTTTGAGAAAAATCGGTGTGTGTTATCTATGTAATGCTAATTTCTATTTCACATTTCATCTTGGAGCAATAGTTCACTGATGACGTGTCACTTTTTTCACTAAAATGAAACCTTTGCCAACTAAAGCTACAAAACATGGAATAGTTATTAAAAATTATGAAATACACTAGTTGTAACATTCATATTAAGTAGGCTTAGTGTAATCACTGTTTAATTCACAAAGTTAAGGCTACAATAAGGCTTCAGTACACTTCTAAATTTTAGGCGTGATACTTTTGTCTGACTATCGAAAAGAATCTGTTACCAAAGTACAACGCACAACATCACGATTCACTAAGTATAAAGTGTAAAATAAAAAAAAATTATTCTGAAATCGAAACAAATTTCTGTAACATATTTTAATTCTTGTTAAAAGTGTAAGTCTCCTTAAATTTATTTCTATCTCTTTAATCTTGTAAACAATTATTTATTAGTCAGGTGCTTATTGCACTTATCTGCTTGACCTGAGTTTATTTATTTCCAAATGTTGGTGGTGTGTAGCGATAGAGTGCTCGCCAACAACCACGCATTTGGTCCGGGAATCGATCACTGATCGGCGAACTCCTAAATCTCATTGTGCCAGTAAAGAGCAAGCACTTCCCGTAAAAAAAACACAACTGCTACTGAAACTCTAAAGCTCTAGCCTGAAGACTTTTATTATAGTGGAAAAGTAAAGAAATAAAGTGTTGGTTCGTTGGGATTTTGAAAAAGAGAAGACGTTTAGCGAAGAAACTCTTTTCGGCGAATTCATTCACATAGCTTTACAATCACATTTATATACAATTATTTGTGTGTGTGTGTACATGAGGTTTCTCAAGTGTAGATAATTAATCAGGTAATACAAGAATGATCTAATATAGAAACAAGGTTAATTAGACAGCAACTAAGGTAAGATTGAGTTAGTAAGTTGGATGACGTAATATAATTGACTAAGATGTTCCAACGTAGGTCAGGGCAGCAACAGAGGTAATTACAGGTAGAGACTAAGTAGAGGTGGGGGCAGAGAATAATGCCATTTAGGTTAGAACTGAAATTCAGCAAATAAGTTGGATGATGTAATATAAATGACTAGAAATTGATCGTTGGTCAAGTCATTAACAGTGGTAATGAGGTGCAGAAATTGAATCGGGTGGGGGTAGAGAACGAGAAGGTTGAAAATGAAAAATATTACAATTAAAAAGACAAAATAATA